ACGAGAGACGCAAGGACCCGAGGAACGAGAGGACGAGCGGCACGAAGGTAGTCGGACAGCGGGGGGGGTGTAACAACAAGGGAGGATGGAGGAGGCGACGGCAGAAGGGGAGGACGAGACGCGTGGGAACGAAGCAACATAGGATGGGAGCGCAAGACAGGCAAGGCAGGACGAGCACGAGAGGGACGGTGACACCAGACGTGGGACGGAGGAGTCGGGTCAGGAGACAGGGGAGGGGACACAAGAGGGGAACGAGGGGGGAGACGGGCCGGGGACGAGTCCGGCGGAGGGAAAACAGGGCCGTAGACAGGAAGAGGAGGAGACGGCCGGGGAGGAACCGACGCAGGGTCGGGGGACGGAAGGCCGAGCAGGCGAAGGGCGGACACCGGTGGGGACTGCTGCTGCGGCTGCTGCAACTGCAGGGGCGGCGACTCAGCTGGACTGGGCAGGGTCCCCTCGTCCGCTCCAGCACCAGACGACCCGACCCCACCACTACCCCCGCCTCCGCCTCCGCCGCGCCCAACCTTGGGGCGGCGCCCCTTCCCCGAACGAAACTGCGCTGCAGCAGCAGTCTCAGCCACGGCGACAGAGCCGTCGGAGAAGGTACACTGGGCGGGGGCACAACCCTGAAGGATAGGGACAGGCACGACACCGCTCGCCTGGGCGATGGAGCGGACACCGGTGGGGACTGCTGCTGCGGCGGCACAACGGCGACACCTGGACCGCAAGCTGCTCCTCGGCTACCACCGGCACTCTCCACACCAGCACCCCCAGAGGGACCACCCTCAGGGCGACCGGGACGAGCACCCCCAGAGTCAGCGAACGGGGGCTGCGACGGCGGCGGCGGCGGCGACGGCGACGGCTGCAGCGGCGGCAGGGGCGGCGGAGGAGGGGACTGGGGAGGGGACACCTCGAGAGGGGCGGCCGGCGAGGACTGCACCGGAGGGCCACCAGAGTCAGAAGACTCCTCAACCGGGTCCATGGACGGAAGGGGGGTGACGTGGGAGACACCAGAGGGAGCGGGACGGGGAGGGGGAGGAGGAGGGGCAGGGACTACCGGGGAAGGGGTGACCAGGAACAGGGGGGGAGTAACCGGGGGACCACGGTGGGGGAAGCGACGGTAGTAGGAGACGGACTCGTCAAAGGTGACGTCACGAGAGTGAAAGAAGCGGTGAGACGGCGGGTGGTAAAAGTGCCAGTCGGACACGTCAAGGGGAAAACCGAGGAAGACGCAGGGAAGGGTGCGGGCAGTGAGCTTGTCCGTGCCGGAGGCACGGACGTGAGCAAGGCAGCCCCAGACGTGGAACGCAGACGCGTCACCAGGAGACCCAGTCCACAGACGGGTCGGCGAAACCTGCGGCTGCTGAGGGTGCGGCCACAGGTTAAGCTGGTGAGAAGCGTAGCGCACAGCGAACGGCCACAGAAAATGGGGTGCACCGGCATGGACCATGGAGGTGCGAGCGACCTCCATGACCAAACCGATGCGTCGCTCAGCGACCCCATTCTGCTGTGGGGAGTCCGGTAGGGTGAACGTCTGGGTGATGCCCTCCGCACGACAAAAGCGACCAAGGACACCTGAGGCAAACTCGCCACCACGGTCTGAGTGAAGACGCAAGACAGGGAGACCGCGGTGGAGACGCGCAGAGACAAGCCAGGGGATGAGGGCGCCAGGCACGTCGGCCTTGCGCTCCAGGGGAAAGACTGTGGTGTAACGAGTGAAGTCGTCGACAAGCACAAGGAAGTAGCGCTCGCGACGCGGCCCAGGGACGGGGGCAGGGCCCCAGACGTCCAGGTGCAGGGTCTGCAGCGTCGCGGCGGTAGGGGGGAACGAGGAGGAGTGAGGGGCACGGCGAAGCCGACCCTCGACACAAGGCGTGCAAGGTGGACCTGGGGAGGAGGGAAACGCGGGGAGTGAACCTGGGAGACCAAGGACAAGACCGTGCTGGGACATGTGACGCAGACGCGGGAGCGCAGGGTGACCTAGGCGGTGGTGCCAAAGGAGGGTCGGGTGAGTGAGGGAGCGACAGGAGCAGGCAGCAGCAACCTGGGTAGACACAGCCACCTGAGGGGGCGCTCCAGCCGGGGGGGGCACGGTGTCCAGAGTGAACAGGCCGGTCACCGGGTCCCGGGGGAACGTGGACAGGGGGGCACCAGTGGCGGCCTCGGTACAGACAGCATACCGCTCGTGACCAGGGAACGTAGTGGTGACGCCAAGGTCCTGGAGGCAGCCGACACCAACTAGGTTCCTGGAGAACGAGGGGATATGCAGACCTGTAAGAGAGCCCGAAGGAACCGCCGGACAGGGAAGGGTGGTGGAACTGCGGGCGACTACCGGACCGCCAGAGGGGTCAGCAAGAGAAACAGCAGCAGGAACAGGAAGTGGCGTCAGGGTGGTGGAGTCGCGGAAGAAACACCGAGAGGCGCCAGAGTCCAAGGTGAAGGAAAGCGAAGCCGAGGGGTCTGACGACGGAGTGAAGGCAGAAGCACCAAGACTACACAAAGCAGGGGATCCTACGCCTGACGCAGCAGGGGAGGCTAAGCTAGGCACACCTACACTAGGCAACAGTGAGTAATAAGCGGGAAGCACACTAGAGTCATCAGCATACATCACATGCAGAGCAGAAACAATGGCATCCATGTCCATATCAAAAATCTGAATCTGACGACTAAGCAAACTGTGCCAGTCCGGGAGGTCTGGCGACGGGCCGAAGCGCTGACGAAAGAGGTCGTCCAGACGACGAAAACAGCGGGGAGTGGAGTGACCGATCTTACCGCAAACGAAGCCGCGGCAAGGACCGGTCTGGATCTGGTACTGACAACGCCCGCCGGCAGAGCCACCACGCGGCACACCACCACGCGCCCGTCCACCGCCAGCGCCGGGCCACCCTGGCGGGAGAACACTCGTCTGCCGCGTCTGCGACGGCTGCTGCGGCTGCTGCGAAGGCTGCGACTGCGGCGGCTGCTGCGGCTGCTGCAACTGCAGGGGCGGCGACTTAGCTGGACTGGGCAGGGTCCCCTCGTCCGCTCCAGCACCAGACGACCCGACCCCACTGATAAATGTGTAGTGTTCTGTGGTGTAGTTTGCTCTAGCTGGTTGTGGGCTATTGGGGTTTGGGCAAAAGATGTGGGTTGGTTGGCTAGGTTTGATCTCGTTACCTTTCCAACCCATACAACCCCAAACCCACTACAACATCTGTCATGTTGCAGATGTGGCACTTGGGAGTGTTAGGGTTTGGTCCAGGGCGAGGGTTGGTGGTGTTTGACAATCTCATTCTCGAACTTTTCCAGATCGAACTGCTTCCCTTCTCGTTTTTACTATTCATGGCTGCCTAGCCAAATTACCAGAATATCCCCTCACAATGATTTCGTCATAATCGGTGGCTCAGATCTTGGTTATGAACGTGCTTTATCATTCTGGAAAGTAGAGATTAAGACCTTTCCAACGCATATAAGCTCATTTCTAGAAGTTACTTGAGCTGCACGCAATGTTCTGTTGAGATCGTCACACTTAATCTCTAATTAGTTCTCTCCAGATTTGCACGATTTCCATCAGTGGTATCAGAGCCACGGTTAGAGGACGTTCTTTCCTCCATTGGAAGAGATCTAGAGAGGCTTGAAGTGCTCCAGATCTAGGGTTTGACATGGCCCAAAAGTTGGATGGCCCTCCTAGGTTTCCCGGCTCGGTTTTTTCGCTATGGAGGTTCCAGTTCACACTATGGCTAGGTATTAAGGACCTAGAAAGTGTGTTGGATGGATCGGAGAAGCGACCACGAGCTGACTCTGGGGAGGCGTCTACTGGAGCAACCAGCCAATTGGGATCTGGGGCTGGGGGAGCGTCGTTGAGTGGGGTGAAGGAAGGAGGAACTGCTGCAACTCGAACCGGAAGGTCGCAACCAAGTAGCGAGGAGTTGCTCAAAGCTCAAGAAGCATGGGATCTGAAGGATCGCCAGGCTTTTCAGTACCTGTGTTGGGCTTTGGAGGGGCAACTTGAGCTTCTTAAGATGCTGATTGACCTGAAGGGGAAGGAAGGTACAGCGGCTGCAGCTTGGAAAATAGTACAAGATAGGCACTTGCAGAAAGGGCTTCTAAGCGTGCTTACTTGGCGGAAGCGGTTTTACACCATGGAGCGGAACTATGGGGAGGGGGAGACCATGGTTCAGTATCTCCAGAGGGTGGATGAGAATGTGCGGGCTTTGGAGGAGCTGGATTACACGGTAGATGAGAAGGAGATCATCTATACTGCGCTCCAAGGGTTGGATCAAGCGGCTAATGAGGCATTACTACAGTACCTTCACCTCGAGCAACAGAAATGGACCAAGGTGTGGATTTGGGAGGTTCTAATTTCTGATGAGGCTCGCAAGGTTGATGCTGGAAGAGGTCTAGAAGGAGGCATGGGTGCAGCAGATAAAGCTTCCTTCAGGAAAGGCTATCAACAGCAAGGAGGTGGGGGGAAGAAGAAAGAGTTGGACAAATGCCTTGTACCCGGATGCAACAAAAAACACTCTTGGAAGAGTTGCTGGAGTAGGCCTGAGGGATGGAAGCCTCACGGCTACTCTGGAGAGGCCCCACCAGTGACCAAACCTGACTGGGTGGAGAAAAGGATGAAGAAGGGGCTCTGGAATAAGAAGGGCAGCAAGGGAGCAACGGCCGCAGCTGCTAAGGATGAGAAGGGGAAGGGCCAAGACGACTCCTCCGATGATGGTTTCTCGTTTCTCATGCTAGGGCAGGATGCAGCTCTCGCTGGTCGTGCATTGGCTGATCCCAACTTCCTGGTTCTAGACTCTGGAGCAACATCTGGGATGCTTCCTCGCCGTGATCTCTTCACCTCCTACCATCCTCTCCCACCAAATTCGAGGAACGTGATTGTTGGGAGCGGAGATTTGCTGCAAGCAATTGGCATCGGCACGATCACCATTAAGGGGAAGGAGGGGGAGCTAGTGGGTGTGAAGGGCGTCCTTCATGCCCCTGGTTTAGCTGCAAACCTCCTTTCATGCTCGCAGCTGGCTAAACAGGGATACATCTGCACTTTCACTGAGGGAGGGTGTACTGTTAGAAAGGGTGAAGCTGTGGTGATGGAGGCAAAGCTGGACAAGGGTTTATACCTTGTTCCAGCTTGTGTGCCTCATTGTTACAAGGCACATATGGTTTTTTCTGAGGAAGCCGCTTGTAGCACTCGCTGGAGGCAGGTGGAAACAGTGTCACCTGAGTTGCTACACCTTCGCATGGGGCACGCGGGGAAGCAGCAACTGCTGGAGTGTGTGAAGAAGGGGGAGCTGAAGGGGGTGGAGGTCAAGGAAGGAGCTGGGCAGCAGAGCAAATGTCCCGACTGCACGTCTGGAAAGCTGCCTAGAACCTCATTCCCTATCTCCTCTGATCATGCCTCGACTCCCCTTGAGCTGGTGCACACGGATGTGTGTGGACCGATGCAAACTCCTGACCGGGAAAAGGGCAACAGATACTTTGTCACCTTTCTTGATGACTTCAGTCGACTTAGCTGGGTCATCTTGGTGAAGACCAAGGATGAGGTGGCAAAGGTGTTTAGGCGGTGGATACGCTATGTGGAGAGGGAGTCAGGGGCCAAGGTGAAGGGGTTAAGGTCAGATCGGGGTGGAGAGTACCTTGGGAAAGAACTTCAAACCTTCTTGGATGAAAAGGGTATTACCCACCAGCTCTCTGTACCTTACACGCCGCAGCAAAATGGGGCAGCGGAGCGGCTTAACAGGACCTTGACCGATTTGGCTCGGGCCATCCTTTCCCATGCCGAGCTTGATAACACTTGGTGGGGGGCAGCAGTGCAGTATGCCAACTGGGTGAAGAACAGGATGGGCAGCAAGGGGCTTGGAGGCAAGAGCCCATACTCCTTATGGACAGGGAAGGTGCCGAATGTTTCCATGGCACGAGTGTGGGGGTGCATGGCACAGTATAAGGTACCTGACCAGCAAAGGAGGAAGCTAGATCCTAAGGCACAGTGGGGGATCTTCCTTGGGGTTTCTGAGAGGAGCAAGGCTTGGGTGCTGTGGAGTGTAGCTGACCAGCGTATGATGGAGAGCCGTGATGTGGTTTTCCATGAGGGGCTGAATTTTAAGGGGTGGAAGGAGCATGGTACAAGCCAAAGTGGGACTTCCATTCAAGACCCTCAAACGGCTTCTATCTTTGAGGGGGCATGGGAGGACCCTGGAGATGAAGGGGAGGAGCAGCAGGAGGAGCCAGAACCAGCTGATCCTAACCATGAGGAGTCCCGAGAGACAGATTCTACCCCTCAGCCAGCCACGCAGGCCGATGCGCGTGATGATCAGCCGGAGCAGCATGTGCCTTCAACTCCATCGAGAAGCAGTTGGCAGCAGTTGTTGAACCAGCAGCTGTCCAAGACTCCAAGGACTCCAATGAAGAGGGTGACTTGGGAGGAGAAGCTGCGGAGGCTGGAAGAAGGAGAGGCAACACCTCTGCGACACAGTGCTCGAATTTCCCAGCCACCTGAAAGGTTTTCACCGGGGCACATTGCACGCATGCATGATCATCTTGTGTCTGATTTGGATGATTGCATGCTTGTGGACATGCATGGGCATGCGTATGCTCTTGATGTGTGTCTAATGGGTCAGGTGCATGAGCCTAGGTCAGTCCATGAGGCGCTGAACCGTCCCGAATGGGTTGAGTCTATGCATGAGGAGCTTGAGTCTCACAAGGTAAATGGATCATTTGAGCTGGTTGATCCAGCCGTGGTACCACCTGGTTTGGAGGTCCTCAGGTGTCAATGGGTTTGGAAATACAAGCATAACCCTGATGGTACCATTGAGAGGCCTAAGTCCAGATTGGTGGTGATGGGAAACACGCAGAAATTGGGAGTACACTATGAAGAAGTGTACTCTCCAGTTGGGAAGCATGCGACCTTGAGAGGTATGCTTGGAATTTCAGCTGCTTTGGGGCTTGATATCCATCATATGGATGTCAAGACAGCCTTCCTCCATGGGGATTTGGAGGAAGAGCTTTACATGCGGCAGCCCCCTGGTTTTGATGATGGGTCTCACCGAGTGTGTCGCCTCAAAAAGTCCATTTATGGGCTAAAGCAAGCCCCACGACAGTGGTACCTAAAATTTGATGAGGCTCTCATGGATTTTGGGTTTGAGAGATCTGAGTGTGACCCTACCTTATACCACTTTGTGAGAGATGAGGAGCGGATCTCCTTATTCCTCTATGTGGATGACCTTTTGCTCCTATGCTCTAGCAAGGCTTTGCTAGATCGAGTGAAAGACTTCTTGTCCTCGCGTTTTCGCATGAAGGACTTGGGGGAGGTGAAGTACTACTTGGGAATGCAAATTGAGCGTGATGAGACTGGTATCTTGATTCATCAAGAGAGGTACATTCTTAACATGCTTCAGTCCTTTGGTCTCTCAGAGGCCAACCCCGTGCGTACTCCTCTCCCAACAGGCTTTGATGTGCATGCCTATGAGGATGAACCCTTGCTGCAAGATGAGCTGGCCAAGCTCTACCAAAGCATTGTGGGATCCCTCATGTATGCTTGTACTACCACACAGCCACAGATTGCCTTTGCAGTCTCACAGCTATCTAAGGTCGCCTCTTGTCCTAAAATGTTTCACTTGCAGGCCGCTAAGAGAGTGCTGAGGTACCTGAAAGGTGGTGTCAAGTCAGGTATCTTCTTCCAAACACAGCCCCAGTCTCAGGTCCAGCTAGTTGGCTTCAGTGATGCTGACTATGCTGGAGATTCCGCAAGTCGCAGGAGCCACAGTGGGTATGTGTTTTGTCTGAATGGGGCAGCTATCTCTTGGCAGAGCAAGAGGCAGCCCGTGGTAGCACTCTCTACCACTGAGAGTGAGTATATAAGTCTGTGTCAGTGCATTCAGGAGGGTGTCTGGCTGAGGCGTTTGCTTGGGGAGTTTGGCCATGATCATGCTGGTGGTGTGCCTGTGTTTGTGGATAATCAGTCTGCCATTGCCCTTGCACAGAATGCATGCTTGCATGGCCGCACCAAACACATGCAGGTCCGGTGGCATTTCATTCGGGAGATGGTAGCTGCGGGTGAGGTGATTTTGCAGTGGTGCCCCACCAACCGTCAGGCCGCTGATATTCTTACCAAGTCTCTTCCATTTGAGCGTCATGGTGTGTGCATGACCTTGCTCGGGATGCAGCCCCATGATGACAGAGTTCCCGCAGCAGATGCCGGCGTCTTGGTGCTCCTCTCCTTGGCGGACTCCATGCTCTGGGTGGCCCCAACCCATGGGCAAGGGGGAGTGGTGTGAAGTCTTTTGCCCTATGGTGTTGAGCCACACCCAGCACGAGCAAGGGGGAGTGATAAATGTGTAGTGTTCTGTGGTGTAGTTTGCTCTAGCTGGTTGTGGGCTATTGGGGTTTGGGCAAAAGATGTGGGTTGGTTGGCTAGGTTTGATCTCGTTACCTTTCCAACCCATACAACCCCAAACCCACTACAACATCTGTCATGTTGCAGATGTGGCACTTGGGAGTGTTAGGGTTTGGTCCAGGGCGAGGGTTGGTGGTGTTTGACAATCTCATTCTCGAACTTTTCCAGATCGAACTGCTTCCCTTCTCGTTTTTACTAGGTGATTCATGGCTGCCTAGCCAAATTACCAGAATATCCCCTCACAATGATTTCGTCATAATCGGCGGCTCAGATCTTGGTTATGAACGTGCTTTATCATTCTGGAAAGTAGAGATTAAGACCTTTCCAACGCATATAAGCTCATTTCTAGAAGTTACTTGAGCTGCACGCAATGTTCTGTTGAGATCGTCACACTTAATCTCTAATTAGTTCTCTCCAGATTTGCACGATTTCCATCACCCACCACTACCCCCGCCCGCACCCCCGCCTCCGCCTCCGCCGCGCCCAACCTTGGGGCGGCGCCCCTTCCCCGAACGAAACTGCGCTGCAGCAGCAGTCTCAGCCACGGCGACAGAGCCGTCGGAGAAGGTACACTGGGCGGGGGCACAACCCTGAAAGATAGGGACAGGCACGACACCGCTCGCCTGGGCGATGGAGCGGTGACGGGTCTCTATGACAGTCAGGGTGTCTACAAAGTCAGTGAGGGTGAGGTCGGCGGGGTGAAGGCTAAGGAAGCGGTCGCGGGCGACAGCAAGGCGGTCAGGGAGGCGGGTGGCAAGCAGGTAGAGGGTAGAGGTAATGGGCGGCTGGTGGGCTCTAAGCTGTGCGTCAGTGCAGGCGGCGCGCCAGGTCTCCTCTATCGAGCGCAGGTGGGCAGCGAGGTCAGAGACAGTGGGGAAAGATGCAAGGTCAGGAAAGAGCAGCGGGAGGATCAGGCGACCCACCGATGCAGCCGGAGGGGTGGAATAGCGCTTGATGACAGCATCTAAGTATGCCTGAGCAGTAGTGAGGGACCTAAAGCGAGGACGCTCGGACGGGGGGAGGGCGTTGCTAATGGCAAGCTGGGCGACAGCATCGCGAGAAAGCCAGACAGAGCGCGCACGGGCAGTGGCAGCAGTAGACTCACGCTCAGTGGGTGTGGGGTCAGCGGGCAGAATAGCAGGGGGGTCTAGGCAGGGGAGCGTACCGTCAAGGTGTGCTGAAAGCGGTTCACCATCCTGCCGCTGGCCAGTGAGTTGGCGGCGGAGGTCGGCAAGCCACGCCTCGAACTCTAGGGGCTGACCTTCAGCGTCGAAGCGAAGCTCCGCCGCCATCAGGAACAGTCCAGTGCGGTGCAGGGCAGTGCAGCTAGGTGGGGCGCGGTGCAGTGCGGTACAGTGCGGTGCAATGCGGTACAGTGCGGTGCAGTGCGGTACAGTGGGGTGCAGTGCGGTGCAGTGCGGTGCAGTGCGGTGTAGTGCGGTGCAAGGCAGTACAGTGTGGTGCGGAGTGGGGGGAACCGTACCAGTGAGGAGGACAGGGCCAGGGCTGGCGCGACGGGGCCGGGCTGGCGCGACAGGGCCGGGCGAGGGCGGCAGGGCCGGGCCGGGTGCGACGGGGCCGGGCTGGCGCGACGGGGCCGAGCGGGCGCGACGGGGCCGAACGGGCGCGACGGAGCCGGGCTGGGGCGACGGGGCCGGGCGAGTGCGGCAGGGCCGGGCCGGTGCGGCGGGGCCGGGCGAGCAGGACGGCGCCCGGGCGGGTGCGACAGGGCCAGGCGGCTGCGACGGGGCCGGGCGGGCACGACGGGGCCGGGCGGGTGCGACGGCGGCAGGCGGGGTCGACACGGCCCTGGAGGGGCGCGACGGGGCCCAGGAGGGGCCCGATGGGGGCCTAGGAGAGGCGCTACAGGGGCCCAGGAGGGGCGCGACGGGGCCCAGGAGGGGCGTTACGGGGCCGAGGAGGGGTGCGACGGGGCCTGGGAGGGGCGCGACGGGGCCCAGGAGGGGCGCTACAGGGCCCAGGGAGGGCGCGACGGGGCCCAGGAGGGGCGCTACAGGGCCCAGTAGAGGCGCGACGGGGCCCAGTAGGGGCGCTACGGAGCCCAGGAGTGGCGCGACGGGGCCTGGGAGGGGCGCTACGGGGCCTGGGAGGAGCGCGACGGGGCCCAGGAGGGGCGCTAGGGGGCCTGGGAGGGGCGCGACGGAGCCTGGGAGGGGCGCGACGGGGCCTGGAGGGGCGCTACGAAGCCCAGGAGGGGCGCTACGAAGCCCAGGAGGGGGCGCGACGGGGCCTGGGAGAAGCGCGACGGGGCCCAAGAGGGGCGCTAGGGGGCCTGGGAGGGGCGCGACGGGGCCTGGGAGGGGCGCGACGGGGCCTGGAGGGGCGCTACGAAGCCCAGGAGGGGCGCTACGAAGCCCAGGAGGGTGCGCTACGGGGCCTGGGAGGAGCGCGACGGGGCCCAGGAGGGGCGCTACGGGGCCCAGGAGGGGCGCGACAGGGCTTGGGAAGGGGGCGCGACGGGGCCCAGGAAGGAGCGCGACGGGGCCCAGGGAGGGGCGCGACGAGTCCCAGGAAGGGGCGCGACGGGGCTAGGGGGGGTCGCGACGGGGCTAGGGGGGCGAGCGGAAGCGGTAGGTGGGGGGGGGGATCCTACCTACGCGTGATACCATATCAGAAATTCAAGTGATAATGATGGAGAGAGAGTACACACAATATAGCCAAGTGTTGTACCCTCTAAGAGGCTACCCTATACAGTCTATACAAACATACCAAATAGACATGTTTGACAGTTTCCAATACCGTAAGAGGAAACGGTTAGAAGACTAACTTAGCTAGGAAGGTAGGCGGCCATGAAATGGCGAAAGGTTTAGGAGCTAGGAGAGGAAGTTGACGAGAGAAAAGAGAATGAACTAGAAGAGAGAGGCATACGAGGGAGTTGTACCCTCCACAGTAGAGTTCGATAACCTATCAAGCCTACAATTATATAACAAATATAATTTAACAGAAACTCCAATATCCACCACCCTACTAGAGAACAATTGATATCCATGCAAGCTTATCAGGAAATATACAGCCTTCAAAATGCTACGTTATTAGTGCCTAGGAAAATGTCTTCAGCCCGAAGACTTCCCCAGCATATAAGCAACAAGCCAGCCTGCAGAAACAACATGCAGATGCTTGCTTAGACACTTTATTCACCTTAGCAGCACCAGGCCTCAGGATATCAGGGTAAAATACCCTTACGGCCCTTACTATAAGGCTGGGGTTGGTGTTGGACCCTTATTTTTAAAAGTGCTTTAGTTTTGGACCCTTATGAAAAAAACTACGTTTGTACGGGACCCTGATTTTCAAAAGTGGTGTATCGTTCGCACCCTTATGCGAAAAAGTGCCTTTACAAAATACCCTGATGTGATTCTACATGTAGCCCCCCCGTTTGGGGGCAAGAATATTCCCCCGAGTCATGCCGCAATCAGCGCCATTATTGCTCTATGCTGGCGCGCGTCGACGAGACTGCTCCAGCGAGTCAAAGTGTGTGGCCTTCTAGGAAAAGACAAACCAATCAGCGTCAGGGGTCGGAGCGCGCATGGACAGCGCGGCAGCAATGGTCCTGCGGTGACCTGTTCTGCAGGCAAATGACATGATTGGTGGAAAGAAGGGGGCACAACTGTCGATCCCCTTCTCCTCTGTTCGGGGCACCAGTTCTTCTTCATTTGTCTCTTCCAAGCTATTCTTGAGAGCACCGAGATACAATCTGCTCTGTGTTTGTATCTCTCACCCGCTTCCTTACCATATTCCTCTCACCTCGACGATAGCCATGGACCCCGACGACGGCGATGAGGAGGAGGATGGTGGGCGGAAACGCCCGCTATCCCCTCCGCGATCAGCCCTTAGTTTCCTCCGTCGCGCACCAATCACAGTCGCTCAGCCGTTCCCACCTCCAACCTCCCCTTGCGTTGGGTCGCCTCCTGTGACCGAACCCATAGCGGATGTCCCTGAGCGTACACCCCCATCTCCCGCTGCTCTACCGGTTTCTGCCTCTGGGGGTTCTCCTGCCCCATCCCCAACTGCTGTGGGCTTGACGTCGTCTTCCGCGAAGCGGAAAGCGAGCAGCCTGCCGCAGAAGTGGCGGCAGCAACATCTACCCTTCGCTCGGTCAACGGACAAAACGCCTGTTGAGGAACCCGACGACGTCGCCGGTGACGATGATGACGAGGATCACGAACCCACCGACGAAGAGGCTTCCAAAGATCCACATGCTGCTTTTGCAAAAGCGCACCGACGTTTTAAGTCTTCTTGGGAGAGTTTGTTCCCTTGGCTTGTCCTCGACCGTGCTGACGATGGTTTCCCTGTATTGCGCTGCAGCACTTGCCTCGAGCACGGAGTTTCAGGTGCGGACACCAAGTACGGCAAGGACGGTTGCGGCGGGCGTGACATGCAGAAGAACAGCATCCAGACTCACCAGCGGTCCAACGCCCACCGCGACGCCTACCGTCTAATGAAGGCTAAGCAGTCGAGGATGTTGCGGCAAACACTCCTAAACGAGTACGAGGGCCTCGACAAAAGCACGCTACATCTCATCACCGCCATGAAGACGGCGGTGTACACGTGCCAATCGGAGGCGCCGATAACATCCTACGTCGGCTTCATCAAGTTCATGGCTTCAGTGCAGACGCCCAACCTCCCTCTGGATCAGAAGGGCGCCTACTTTTCAGAGTGAGAAACTACGAATTCGAATCTTAGTGCATTGTTTTCAAGTACCGAGTGACCATATTATTGGTCCATGAGTTGCAACATCTATGACTACTCTCTTGTTTCATCGTGTGTATGCTTGGCAGATACGGATTCAACGAGTTGGTCGAGGCCGCATCAAAGTACCTACGAGAAGAGCAGCTAAAGAACATCGCAAGCAGCCCCTATCTCGGCATCGCTATTGACGAGAGCACGGACCGTGTCAGAGGGAAGCATCTAATAGTATATGTGACTTATATCAAGGATGGCTATGTGCGTACCGAGTTCCTGACGCTCCTCACCGTGCAAAAATGTGATGCAGCAAGCCTCACTGAAGTTCTGGAGACTTACATGCGATCGGTCGGAATCGACATGGAGAAGATCGTCGGGATAAGTACGGACGGCGCGTCTGTCATGGTAGGCGAGCACAAGGGCGTCGTCGCACGGTTGCGTGTTAAGATTCGGCACCTACCGTATTCCCCCGGATATACGCACCGCCGGCTAATACGCACCCTGGTGCGTATATCCGGAGGGGTGCCATATCGGAGGTGCCATCTATACGCACCCGTATAATCACAGGTGTCTAATCCCTATAAGCACCCCCCCAAAATAGCTTAAATTTCATGAACATAGTTCATTAAAGACAACTTAACATTGTAATTAGATATAAGAAGTCAGATCTATATTAGTTAACTTCTACAGTTACATCATCTACCATGCTCTACAGCCCACACCTCGACTACCTAAACAGATTCACAGCCTCCAATTTCTATAAGTTTAGGGTCGTCTACCATGTCCTACAGTCGTCGCATCGTCCATGTGCACTCCATCTCAACCCTCCTCGTCGTCGTCGTCCTCCTCGTCCTCCTCGTCCTCCTCGTCCTCCTCATCATCCTCCTCCTCCTCCTCAGCTGTGGTCGAGTTGTCCCCCGTGAATCCGTCGGCCCCGGTCTCATCGTTGACATCCACGGTGGGGTCTCTCATGTGCCTCAGGCACAAGTAGTCTTCGGAGCCATCCAGGGCATTCGAGATTCCGCAAGTTTTGAATGCCTTCTGGATAAGGGCGGCAGGGACAGCCTTCCACGCCTTGGAGACCCATTTCAGGGTCTCCTCTGGTGGCGGCTTCTTCAGGTTTCCTGAAGCAAACAAAGAACACACCATTAGATATTGGTGTGAAGATGGAGCATAATCCGCACAGCAAGGGTGAACAACCTAACCTTTGGGGGTGAAGATGGTGCAGCCGACGCGGTCGAACCACTCCTGGTAGTACGCGCGAAACAGTGCCTTGAAACTGCGGTTCACGGCCACGTCGAGCGGTTGTATGACGGAGGTGCAGCCGGCAGGGATGATGCCGGGCACCACGTGGAGCTTGCCGTAGAAGTCCTTCACTTCAGGGGTGAGATGACCGCGGTATGAATCCAGGATGAGGAGAGCAGAGCGGGCACGGAGGCCGAAGTTGGGCTTGATGAACGGCTTGACCGCCTTCTCAAGCCACTCTATGGCACCAGCGGAGTCCATCCATCCATTTGGTTGGGCGGCTACCACGACATCTACATTGACAAAATAGAATCCGTTAGTAAAATCTTTAAAATCAAGGAGAGGCATACACAGACAACTCAAAGTGCACGAATAAGGCTTACCGGGAGGGAAATTTCCCTTGGGTACGGTCGCCCGCTTGAAAAAGACCCACGGCTTGAGCTTCTCGCCTGTGGCCGTGCAAGCGAGCATCACTGTAACGCGCTCCTTGTGATAGCCCGCGGTCTTGATCGGCACCGAGTTCACCCCGACTTGCTCCACGGTCCGCTCTGCTGGCATCTCCAACCAGACAGGCGTCTGGTCTGCGTTGATGATCCAGCGGTCGTCAATCGAGTAGCCCCTCCTCGCATCACGACAGAACTGCCAGAAGGACTCCACTTGTTCCTTGCACTCTGCGTTCACGTGCAAGAAAAGTATGATGAAATTAGCAGAGAAACAAGTTTCAACAGTTCCACAATTAACATTTGAGGAAGCATGTACTGTACCTTCGGTCATTTTCTGGCCGACCTTCGTGCGGGCCCGAACAGAGAGGCCCCATCGTTTTCTGAAGCGAACACTCCACCGCTGTGAAGCCATCCACTTCACGTCGGGGTGCATGGTCTTCATCAGCTCCCTCGACCACTTCTGCAGCTTCTTCACGGGTACAGGCGTCCCTTTCGCGCGGTCTTTTAGGAACTTCTCATACACGACAAGCTCCATGTCGTGGTACCAGCTGCGGCGCCCATGGCCATGCAATCGCTTGCGGCACGAAGCAGCTTCCTTCAGCTTGTCCTCCGCGAGCTCCCACTCTCGAATTCGACGGCGCGAAATGCCCGACTCGCGCTGCACAGCTCGTCGGTTCCTATCGAGCGCACGCCATCGCTCCAGCCAATACAGCTTTTCCTGAGAAGTGTACGCCCTTCGCTTGCGCTGTGTCATCCGAGATCTGGGGGAGGGAGGGCGGCTGTCGAAATTTGTTGTCGTTGGATGAGGGCGGCTCCGACCTTCGGGGAATGTTGGGATGGGCAGCTTCTCGGGCAGCCCATCACGGTGCCAGTACTCCGCCTCCTCCTCATCCGTTTCCTTCCACTGGTCGTGCTCCGGCCAGTTGTCACCGTTGGGAATCCCCCAGTCGCGAGCGCGCGGGGATTCGAGAGCCTCCTCCTCGTCCGAGATGCTCTCCACGTCGCATCGGTCGGGCTGGGGCGGGAACGGGTTGCCGGGTAGAAGTAACGTCAGAACAGGAACTCCGTCGACCTCCGTCAAGGGCAACCGCAAAGACCATGGTCGCGAGCTTCCAGGAACGGAGGGCGCTGGAGGGGCCGGAGGTGCCGGCGGTGCAGGAGGAGCCGGGGGAGCGGGGGGAGCGGGAGGAGCGGGAGGAGCGGGAGGAGCGGGCGGCGCGGGAGGAGCAGGGGGTGCAGCACGGAAACCACTAAATCTACTAACTCGGGCAGCAGCTATGTCCTGTCTAGAGAGGCGTGTTGGTGTACCAGGGCTGCCGAACAGTACAGACATAGCTGTGGGTGGAAGGCCAGCCATGGCGGCGGCCTGGCGAGAGAGGACGCATGAGGACGCTCATTCGAAAAGCTACTGAAATAATGAAGCTTCAACCAGGGTGTTCCTCAATTCCTCAGCGGGGAATTCCTCATCGTGCAGCCCATGACGGTGCACGAAGAGGATTCCTCTTCCTTTCCGAGCTGAGAGGGCACCGTCGTGGCATGACGAAGCTACCAGCAGATTCTTCTCGAACTTCTAGCTCGCCTTGCGGATGCTGCCCGCCGAGCATGTGGCTGCGATTGGACCGCCAAACAGCATATTCGCACAAAAACTCCAACGCCGCATCACCAACACATGAGATGTGACAGCGTCCGCGCCGCTGTGCTCGTGGTTGGTCCGTTTGGCTGCATCCACACAAGCCTGGCTGGTTCGATGTTTCCGGACCAGATTCATGCGAATCTCTGTTGTATTCGCTGCTGCAAATATCTGAATAAACGTTGGCGGGTGTTAGATGCACATTTCGATGCCGTTTTTTTTCTTCTCAAAAAACCATTTTAAACGCACTGGGCCATATTGAAAAAATTCGAATAAACGCACCCCCCAAAATTTGACTATAATCCCTAAACGCACCCCTGCGCGTATATCCGGGGGAATACGGTAGTGTCATGCCACTGCATCGCCCATCGGTGAGTTGACTCCGGTGTTTGGTGTTTGACAGGTTGTCTTTCGGTTGTTGGTTCCCAAATCGCATGCGATGTCACGTTCTACTGTCACACACCTGGTGTGTGTCTATGTGTTCCCTCCCCCCTCCCTACCAGTTTGACATGGCCGCCGACTAAAAGCACCGGCAGCAGAGGGTCTCCTCTCCAGCAGCAGCAACAGCAATTGCAGCAGTAGCAGCAGTAGTAGTGGCATCACCAGCATCAGCATCACCAGCAGTAGTAGCAGTAGCCGCAGTAGTAGTATTTGGTATGGTGCAGGATTAGTGCGCTATGCTTTGCAATGTCAACATCTATAATACTAAGCAAATTTATCCAGTTACGAATGAGTATGGCGTTTGTACACCCTGATGTGGAAAAGCAGTTTTTTTTAGCACCCTTATAAAACAAAGTCGAAAAAAAAAACACCCTTACAGAAAAAGTGGTCGAGGATTCATACCCTTACATGAAAAACTACTCCAAATCCTATCCAGAGGCCTGAGCAGCACCGAGACGATCCAAAGTTCAGTCCTAGCTATTTTACAGAACCTAGTAGCATCCCAAATTTCCAATGTCCTCATTCCCCGGTGCATGTCTAACTCCCAGCAACTGCTACGCACTTCACCACACAGTAAATGTTCCAGACCCGCCCCCTGATCCGGCGCTTGAATAGCTGTCGTTCCGATCGAGGTGCGTGGCAGGCGATTCCAGGGCCACCCCGCCCATCACTCCCACCATCTTTGGCCCAGGCCTTCTATACTGCCCTCCTCCCATGCCCATCCCCATGCCCATGTTGCCAGCCGTTGCAGCCGCCGCCGCTGCAGCAGCAGCAGAAGCTCCTCCCATCATCATCATATTAGTGCCTGCAGGCGGCGCTGCCATAGGCACTCCCATCTGCGGCCCCAAGGGGAGGGTACCACTGTTACCGCCACTGGCACTCCCAGTCGCACTGTGGCTGGGGCTTGACCCCGCATTCATTGACATCATGGCAGTGCGGCCTAGAATACCACCATAGCAGGCCGCACCTGCTGCTGCAGCAGACCTGGATGGAGACTGCTGATACTGCTGCTGCTGAAACTGCTGCGGAAACTGCTGCTGCTGCTGATACTGCTGCTGGTAACCCCCACCGTACTCCATGCCCATCGATCTCCGTGCCATCATCCCACCACCCATTGGCGACGCCCCCCCAGCTGAACCGCTCAGAGCGTTCATGCCTGAGAGCACAGGCCCGCCAAAGCCAGCAGCTGAAGGGGAATTTCCTCCAACAGCAGGGGAACCCCGAGCACTACCCCCGAAAGAGCTGCCGGCGTCGGAAAAGAGCCCTGCGTCCTCCTGCCCGAATTTGGTGACGTGGCGCGAGGCGGGCGGCGCGGGCGGCGCTGCTGGCTTGTCGTCCAGGTCCTGCGAGATTCGATCGGGGATAGGGAAAATCGAGTAGAGAGGGGGAGTTAAACAGGGAGCGCGAGAAAGAGGTGATGAGAGGGTTGCGGTGTGCAGGAGGAGTGCAGTGAGGGGGAACAGGGCGGGTAAGAGCGGAGCGAAAGTGTTCCATGAGGCTCACTGCGCACGGCTGACAGAACAGATCTCTGGAAAAACACTATGGATAAAAAAGAGCTGCGGTAGGGTATTCGTCAGCGGAAGGGCGCCCAGGAAGGCAAGCTCGTCCCGTGGCATCCTCTCCCTATCGATTTTTGAGGCGCCTCAAAAATAGATTCTTTGGCTGTAAATTCGTAGCTCTGCCCACTGCTTTCCGGTAAGGCGACAGCAACTCCTGCCTCGTGTCACTGGACGAGTAGACGCACTTCATCTGGTAATAAGGACCACCTTACAGCCCTCGCGCTATTGCGCAAGCCATCAGCGACAAGCCACTAGCGTCAAGCGAGTCGCAACAAGCGAAATTAGCGACGAGCTAATGACCGCTCACCAGGTACGCCAGCAGCTCGTCATCCACTTCAGCGTAGCTGTCCATCTCCTTGGGCTTTGCGCGCGCCGCCGGGGCGGTGGAGACGGCAGCAGACTCCTCCGCGGGCGCAGCAGCGCCTTCCGGAGCGTCATCCACGCGCGCGAGAGCAGCGGCGGCGGAAACGGTCCGCGAAGGCACTCCCCCCGCTTCCCGCGAGGCTTTCTGCTCCCCCGACCCGCCGCCCTGGTCGCAGCTTGCGCTCCGCGGCGGAAGCGCGGGCGGAAGCTCGGAACCGGATGCGCCGGCGCCGTCAGCGAAATCAGGCGGCTCGCCGTCTAGAGGATTGAGATAGTAGGTACCGCCGGGGGCGAGTACGGTTTCTTCGTCAAGCGCAGGCGCGGGCGCGGGGTCGAGCGCGACGGTGAAGGCGGGGAATTCTAGGAGGAGCTCTTTGACTCGCATGCGCTTGGTGTACATCTTCATCGAGCCGTCGGGCAGCAGCACCAGCAGCGCCTGCGACTTCTTCGACGAAAACATCTGCCGGATGCTCACCATGATGCCCGACTGACGTTATCGTTGACGTTGACGTTGACAGTGTTGATTCTCCGATCAAATTATAAGTTCCCGGCGTGAGTTTTTTTTTCTCTAGGGCTGACAAGCCTGATGACTCGGAAGGGGAGGAAAATCGAGCTTACGGGAGTGACCTCTCGGTCATCGAAGAGGTCCAAGGGGTGACCTGCAGTACAGCGGCTGGGCTCGGCAGATGCTGAAGGCCTGATCCTAGTCCGAGGGGGATATAACAGAGAAGTCAGGGTCCATCACTTTTGTGCTGACAACGATACGATATGACGATACACACAGTTGTGCTGAGCTGACGCACGTTATCTGTTGACAAAGTTTCAGAGGAGCTGATGCGTTGAGAAAGGGCAAGGGAACTGGGCAGCGGTTGGGGTTGGGGGGCGGAGCAATACAGCGCGTCTGATCTGTCCGTCTGTACAAGGTCTGAAATGACAAGAGCTTCAACGGAGGAGAAACGCAGCCGGGGATAGAGAGCTGGGTGGAGGCTGGGGGAGACGAGGGGCCACCTTGCAAGGAAGCAAGGCAATGATTGTGACGCTCCGTTTCGGATAACCATGGCGCCCTTCCGCGTGGAGTTTGGCTGCAGGGATGGGTAGTTGTGGTTCGGTTGGTGAAAGAACCCAACAGTTTTGGTTTGGCTGGTTTGGGAGAATTGGCCCGTGTTCATGCAGCACGGCAGGGCAGCGGCTGTGCTGTGGGCAGCAGGGCTATTGTTTTACAGGCAACTATCCGGATCTTGATAAAATAACAGATTACTTTCTGACCGAAAACGATTGCGACGTGTTCGATTTTCATGAACCCGGATTCTGATGGGTACATTTTAACCAAAACCCGTGAGTAACGCGTTAGGTTTTGGCAAACACGGGATAGTAGAACCACACCACCCCGCCGATCCCCCCACCATTCCCTCTCCCCAGGGCAAATCAGCCCTAGCAAGGAAGTTCCAGAGGTGGATATATAAGAGCGGAACGGAGTACTCTTACGTAGAATCCAGGAACTTTTCGTAAGAGCGCTTGTCATCGCGGAAAAAAACCCAGGAATGTAGTGACATTTCCTCCCATGCATCGACGGGTGCGTTTCGAATAAACCCGTCTGATCCGTGTCTCACGTAAGTGATACCAATATCAGCCGTGGTGGACGAAAACCCTAAGCGCTGGTGTGCAGGAGGAGGGGGGCGGGGGAGATTGGTGGGGCACACTGGCAGGAGGTGAGAGCAGGGAGGGACTGGCCTTTTGCTGGAAAGGTTTGGGTTGCATATGTCGCAGGAGGGCTGACTTCTGACAATTTGGGAAACAGAGTTTGCTTGGCTCGTTTTTTGGGAGGGGGGGAGAAAAAAGAACTGTTTTCCGGCGTGACACGTCGTGCAGGAGCAGCGAATGGGCGACTCCTGCCCAAGCGTAGCAAGGTTTTGGAAAGTAGGCCAAGGTGTGTCTTTGTTATGTTGTGCACCTTGTGTGCCATTTAGTTTCCACCTATTTAGCTGTTACCCTGTTTGAATTTGACTGAGTGTACACTCGTAAAAAAACTGTATTTTCGAGTGTCCAAAGTTTCCAGAGACATCCGTCGACAAGACAGATGTCACAGTACACCTGTTCCACGCTAATAATGAAGGTTTTTTTCACGAGGCTCGAGCCTGTTCCCCAGGAATTTTAGAACACCAGCAAACCGGACATTAGCCTGGAAAATGCACAGGATCTCCCCGGCAAAATGTCGAATCGTTCCCGCCTAAGTTTGAGGGTTAATGCGGTTCAGCTCGGTACCTGGAGTTTGGGACTGAACATAGGGGGACACGAGCAGGCGAGAATAGCAATTGGGACCCTAGGGGTGACAGGATCTGGCGGGAATTGCAATTTGGACTGTTCGTCTGAGAACCATAGCGAGGATCAGGTGTACCGAGCTGTGAATGTTGTGTCTTGTAGAATCGTAAAGAAACACACTGAATCTAGGACGGATGTCTGCGCATGTTGCTGACATCCGTCGGCGTCCCACTTTGGACTCCATTGTGGCCTCTTGCTAACAGGGTAATTTTTCTTAATTTCGAGAAATTAAGAGTAACGTTTCAAATGATTTCGTGATTTTACAGTGCGATATTTTCCGAATCCGTCCAACTTACGGAAACAATTTCGCGCGATTCCTTAGCCTAACGAGTTACTTTCTTAGAATCCGTATGGGCTATACTTGTAGCACAGAAATCTGTAGGTGGAAGCGACCGCCCAACCGCCCCACAAACCCCCCCCCCCCCCCCCCCCCCCCCCTCGCGCCACTCAATCCCGCCTTTGTTCACGTGCTAAGCCGAATTTGTGGCGGCTGATTCCCTTCAGTAAGGGTTTTTTTTTTTTTTTTTTTTTTTTTTGGAATTCCGTCTGTTGAAACCCGCAGCCCAAATCGTTCATACGCAGTGCGTATGAAAAATGGGTGTTGGGTTATACGAAACACACGGTAAAAATCGCGAGGGTGTTCCTTCTCGCAAATTGAAAATGTTCGTAGACCGTCAGATTCGTCATCTGGCAGTTCGACGGTTGAAATTACGCGGCGAATCATTGGTGGTGCAATGGAGTAACGAATTGGCTTGAGGGCCGTCAGATGGGAATCTAAGTGGAAATGGACGGCCGAAAAACGCACTGCACATGGAGTCCCAAAATGCTTGGCGCACTGAACTTGAAACCCGCCCCTGACTGACGAGAGCCGCGTTACCCCACTCGACCCCCACCAAAAGCACGACTTTCAAACGCACTGCGTTCGAAGGCCGGGCCTTGTAATTTGGGCCGCGGTTTTTAACGGGTGATTCCGTCCCCTTCCGGAATACCCTGGGGCTTAGCGAGAGGCCTGCTCCACAACACGCGCATGGACCACTCTTTCATGTTCATTCTCACCCTCAAAGTCGCACCAGCTAAACACCCTTCGCCAGAGGTCGGCCCAAACCCTGAATGAACCCCTAAAATGGTGGCTGCTCGCCAAGCCTTGCCACAGCTTGGTTTAGGGATTTACGCGGCCCGCCCCTGGCAGCAGTCTCTCCCACTATGAAACAAACAGCAAGTCCTGGCCACAGTCGTCCATTCCGAGTACTGTATGCTTTCTGTTCTTCTCACATGCACGAGCTCCCCACACTGCATGCACGCCTCAGGTGTTCTAAGAAACAGTGCCCGACGATAACAGCGTAAGTGTGCCATGTCAGGTGATTACACTTCCTGCATTCTGGTTGGAGGAATGTCTTCGATGCATGCAGTTTGGACGTTTGATGACGCCATAAAGTGCAATTTTTGTATCAAAATCTACCATTTTCCCAGTTGTCGAATTCCCATCACGTGAAGTTCACGTGCTTCAGGCCTTCACTGTTGACACCGCTTTGGGGGGAATGGAAAGTGTCCCTCAGGGCGTGCCCAGCGCGTTCAATTCGCACTAGCACGCGTTTTTGAAGTCTTCTGTACATGCTCAGAAATAGTTACACCGAGTGTAGCTGTTATGAATGGAACTGCCGAGTAGCCCCGAGGGCAATGGCTAAACTGTGAACGAGTGAATGACAATAAAATGAAAGACAATACAATATATAGGAAACCTAGGGCGATCCTGGAAGTAAGATCGGAAGGTTCGGGAAAATGTGTCGAAGGGCCTCGATGTGTCGAAGCGAGGTCCGGAAAGGCCTAGGAGGCTCGAACTGAAAGGTCTGGAACCCTATCGCTGGTTCTGGACTGTTCGAGTCGTACGCCCTGTAGCAAGCCTCAGAAAGGAATTACTAATTCCTTACAGTAGCTGTCGCGAGGATCACCTTTCGATAGCAGTGAGCTGCTTGGCTCAGACTTGTGTCTTGCCTTCGATACGACGAATGCTTTGCGCAGCAAAAGAAATATAGAGCTTGGCGAGATTAGGGCGTATAAAAAGTAAACGGAAAAGGCCGGAAAAGCTATTTTGACATCACTGTCGTGGCACTGGGATAACCTTGTCGATCCTCTCTCTATCTCTAGGGAGGGTAATGGGGAGGCTTTCCTCGGAGAAGGTGGATATATGGAGCCTAACCCTCATGATAACATCCATTCTTGTCCCAGTGGTTAGGACTGGTGATTTTACGGCTTGGTATCAAAGCCATCCAAGCTTCAATTCCTGGTGTACACGCTATCCCAGCGAGGGGGTGCGTTGTGGCACTGTGATAACCCTGTCGATCCTCTCTCTATCTCTAGGGAGGGTACTGGGGAGAGTCATAAAGTCACCAGTCCTAACCACTAAGACAAGAAGGGATGTCATCAGTAGGGTTAGGCTCCATATATCCACCTTCCCCGAGAAAAGCCTCCCCAGTACTCTCCCTAGAGATAGAAAGAGGATCAACAGGGTTATCCCAGTGCCACGACACACCCCCCCGCTGGGATAGCGTGTACACCATGAATTGAACCCCGGATGGCTCTGATACCAAGTCATTAAGTCACTAGTCCTAACCATTAGGACTAGAAGGGATGTCATCAGTGTTAAGACTAGAAAGAATGAATGGAAGAAGGGAGAACAGGGGAGATATAGCGTTTGGGTTGTACCCACTAAGAACATACCCTATCTAGCCTATAACTTCTACATAACATTGTATGTATAAGTTGACAATCTGTAGGGTTAGACTCCATATATCCACCTTCCCCAAGGAAAGCCTCCCCAGTACCCTCCCTAGAGATAGAGAGGATAACCAGGGTTATCCCAGTGCCACGACAAGGAGGCCTTCCTCGGAGAAGGTGGATATATGGAGACTAATCCTCCCGATGACATCCCTTCTTGTCGTAGTGGTTAGGATTGGTGTCTTTATGACTGTCACGCGGGGACGTCCGGGCTGTCAAATAAAGCTAGGTAGCTAGGTAGGCCATGGAAATGGCGAGAGGTTTTAGGCTAGGAGAAATATCGAGAGAGAAGAGAGCGTGGAATAGAAGAGAGAGGGATACAAGATGAGGGGTTGTACCCTCTACAGTAGACTCCTGTATCACATACCAAACCTACAATTATATATATCAAATATATAATTTAATACACGCGATGTAAAATTTGCTTCTTCGTAGGGGTACACAATCACATTGAACACTGACGAAATGCGAAAACGAGCCGCCATGTGACCAAAAGGGAAAGGAAAAAAAGATTTGGTAACGCGCGAAAAAATAAAAAAAAACCAACGATAGATAGTATATCGCATATGTTTCCAGTTCGCGACTTGGAGACGTGTGTTGCGATGTGCTAATACTACACGTATGAAATCCGTGTCTCGCGAACAGTTTCGTGCTTTCGCTGCATGTTTGGGTTTGCTCATTTTTTTTTTTTTTTTCGACTCCTACCTACGAGCGATACTTTCGGCATGAAAAACGTGATGGGACGTCAGCTCGAATGCGTGCAATTCTTCGATGAAGACTGACAGACGTCTACAAAGCTGCTTACATGGTGGTAACCACCCTAAGTCCCC